CCTGAGAAACACATAATATTAGCCCTTTAACACACAGGTCTGTTAGACTCAGTTTTGTCTGTTAGAATGCTGCCACCCTTCTTCACTTTGACTCACATAGACATGTTTAAATGTAATTTGCCCCTCTGGATTATTAATAGTGTAGCCTGCATTTTAAACTCTCTCATTCATTTCCATTTTTTATGCACTGCCATCCTAAATGAGCCTCTGTAATGCATCAGTGCCAGCTTTTGTATCAAAGCATATTGAAACACTAAAGACTGAACTAAATGATCAAGCAGCACAAGGCACTTTTTACAGGCTTTAAATAACAACTAAAACAGTAACTGTTTATGGTAATATACTTCCTTACCATAAAATRAAAATTTAAAACTTCATCTGAGGCTAATTAATCCTAATATCAAGAAATCCAGAGCAGAAAATGAGAAAAGCTACAMAGGGAAGAGGAAGAGCATACTTCTGGTCCTGAAGGGGGCCACAATGAGCCACTGATGAAACCTCCTCAGCTTTAAGTTCCTGTTTCACACAGCTGCCTCCTTCAGGAAATGAACAAAAACAATGCAAGGAAGAAAAAAAAAGAAAGGAAAGCTCCTGCAGTCTGAAACAAAAAGTGACCGTTTCCGAGCGGTTCTTTTGGGATCAGACGTACACGCGTGTTCCGGTCAGCATGTGCACAGCAGCGTGTGACTGTGTCATCTTCAGGAGATCAGGAGGATTACGCACCCGGGGACTGAGCCTGCCTTGTTGTCACTCTTTGCTAAATTAAAGCAGGCAGACATGGGACGAAGTTTGCAAAGTTTGGCTACACTAGAAAAAGATAACAATATGTTATAATCTCTTAACAATACTAAAAACTATGCACAGTTTCACTACAACATCATTTAATATCCTCTTTAGCTGACATTTTSTCTTTAGGAGTGTGCAAACATCCATCCATTGTGATTGTAGCAGTTCTGAGAGCTCATATGCTAATTTGTGAGTCTGTCTGCAGCTTGTAGACGAATGACACAGAMACAGTAAAGCTTAAACAAACTAAAACTGCCACTACACTTCAACCTGATGCCCTGAGAGACACTATTTAGCTCTCTAACACATTTTCGTGAGCTCTGAACTGTCCTTTGTTCTGTCAGTGGATGTGTTGTGTGGCTGTAGTGGCAGACTGTGCCATTTGACCTACTTCTTGGACTAAAGGAGAGATTAGCAACAACTCAACACTCCCACCACAAGGCTCAGACASACACACACACACATACACACTGCAAGGTTAGTGTCCTCCACATCACCTCTTGAACACTAAAAAAACAGAAACAACAAAAATGCAGGTTTTGACTCTGAACACTCAGCTGTTTTAACCTCCAATGACGTCATGATGTAGAGGATTAAGTTGGCAACAGATGTACAAATAGTCGCTGCGCTTGGCTGCCGCTGCGCTGGCTTTTATTCAAAATAATCAAAATAAAACTGCCTGTGCAGACAGAAATAAAAAGAAGAAAAGAAAAAGAGAGAACATGCTACACCAGATTTACTACTATCCCACTGCTGCCCAGTCCCGTGTCCTGCAGCACCCTGCGGTGGACTCCAGCTAMCATTCTGACACACAAAATAAATAACGTGTTCTATCATCTGTCAGTCTCACACTGAAATTTGATATAAGCTATTTGAGTCGCATAACTGACTTACTTATGTGCAAAGTTTTTGTAATTCTGTAAATTAAATCACCAAGTGCAAACTTGCAGCGGAACAAGGAAGTGTGGAAAGCAGCTCTGCACGTTTAAACGCTAATTAACACCAGGATCTTCGCATGACAGCGACAGGAGATATGTTGTCACCAATTTAATGAGGTCGGTAATGAACAAAAAGAGATATGCTGAATTATTACATAAGGCCCGGTGGCGGTAAAAATCCTAAGAAACATTAAACATACGACACGTGACACAGAGGGTGTCAGTGCACATGGAGGAGAATGAAGAGACASAAGAAAACATAAGAGCGGCAGTGATGTAAGGATTTGAAAACGAGACTCACAGGGCACCGCTCGGAGGTAGAGGTTCTCTCTGATGACCTGCTGAAGCTGGCTGTCCACCGAGCCGGGTGTGAAGCACTTACTCAGATATAACCTGAGATCCTTGCACAGTGTGGAGCCTGAGGGGAGGGCAAACAAAACAAGGATGACACAGAGAAGGAGGAACCACAAAGTAGGAAGAAAGAAAGGAGCAAACAGAAATCCGCTTAAAGCATGCAATCACATTTAAATATGTCTGCAGGAATAATCTTTCCTCCTACCGGGCTGATTAAACTCCCTAACACTGACAGATCACTGGATCCTGACTATAAAAGCCTCTCTTGCGTATGCATGCAAGATGCTGAGGTGAATTGTGACAGAAGYAGAAGAAGCAGCTGATCGCCAGGACTCAGTTTCCCCTCTGTGATCTCTTAATATCGTCTGGAGTGCTTTATGGCCTCTGATGACAGGCTGCTTGCTGTTATTGATGGGCTGAGGATATCTTGTCACCCTGACAGACGWGGACTCTGTCGGTGCTTCCCCTGCAGGCTGCCGTTTAGCCGGCTACATCCCTGACACGTCTGCAGCACCGCCGCTGTTTGGTACTGTGAGCACACCCAGTAGTAGAATGGATTTGAAGAGCTTTTAAATAAAAAAAAACATGCCAATTTGATATAATCATAGGCAGTCAGCTGTATGTAAGGATGTCTGATTACACATGGCCACAGCCTGAGAAGGAGAAATGAATCTTGCCTGTTGCTGTTTGAGAGAAATGATGGACTTTTGTTCCCTGAGACAGCTGCCTGCGTTGAGAGCAGAAAAAAAGAGCTCTTCAGCCGAATGAGCTCAACAGAGCTTGAATTATGTGATAATTTTACAAATTCTGCAGACATAAGAAGGATGATAGTAAAGAACAGCATCTGGGGCTCTGCTGTCATAAAGCTACTTGTGTGGAATCACAGCTCTTTATGCTTCMTGTCTGGGGAAAGCAGCTTGGTGTCCTTATTTTTAAAGCTGTAGTAGTCCTAGTAGTAGTTTTAGGGAAAAGTAGGAGGAGGTGTGCTACAGCAACGCAGAGCAACAACACATCCATCACTGTCCATGCCGCAACGCAGTCGAGCTGCCCGGRGAGGCCCAGGAAGACTTCAGAGCTCATAATGGATCTACCAGCATCACGAGTATTGGGAGCAAAGGTCTACATTTAAACCCCTGTGGCCAAATCAGCAATCAGTGCAGCCAGCAAGGCCACCCGGGGCTGTAAGAAGGTGACACTCAGGTGACACCTTGGCCTGTTCAGAAACCAACAAAGATATACCGAACCCCAGAGTCACGACACCAAGGCCTCCTGTGGTCCACAGAAAACCATATTGACACAATCCAGTTACGTGTGAGCAGTTTGAACCCCTACATACAAATTAAACTGTTCCCTTCATGTTTAAAGACTAAATATGAGTCAGCATCAGGAGGCTGTGAGCTGCACATTTAAAGTGTAACATGTTGTTTGGACAGAGTTCAACAGTCTGTTTGCACAAGAAAGTACTGGTTTATATTCTGTTAGATATTTGTGACCGATCAAATGAGGATTACCGTATTTATTCATGTATAATACAATCTCGAGTATAATACGATCATCATTTTGTGAACTTAAAAAGCATAAAAAATCTAATTACTAATAACCCGTGTATAATACTACCCCCCTACTTTATGGATGATTTTTAGGGTTGAATTTCTAGTATTATACAGTTATTATACAGTAAGTCAAATTTGGTCAAAATGACTTAATCACATTTTCATATTCCTGGCTTTTAAAAGGTACATTTTGATACCCGGATGGTTCTGAGATCATAAATGGATCCAGAGATATGACTTCATTTTTCTTGTTGCTTACAATGACACATTAATATTTGGTCTGAAGCTGAATTTCATGTAATTGAAACTAGAAAATTTTGATATCAATATAAAGAGGAAACTCAAATAGCATTAAAATATTTTCCAGCTGGGAAGAAACAAAAAGCTTTGTTAGCTCATAGGGAAAATCTCAAGATTTGAAGGTATTTTTCCTCAAAATCATGTTTTTTGTTGCTACAGCTCAAGAGTTCCAACATTTTTTTAAGATTATATTTCAGACAATTCATCCAAATGACACATTGATCTGATTCATTATAGTTTAATAAAATGCAATTTTTGCAAGTGTTTTAATCAAAACACTTTATCTGCCTATTTCTCCGCATTTTAGACTTAATCCTCATTTCAACATGATGGCTAACATTTTAGCTTTGTAATAAATAGCATTTTAGAATATCAAAAAAGTAATAATACTCAAAATATTCTTAAAAAAGGTTGTTTAGAATGGCAAAATAATGTGGTATTGTCATGGTCTGTGTTTATTTTCCTTAGTTTTCTAGTGTTTTCAGTGTTCCCCTGTGTTTCTCTGCCCTGCAGCCCCACCCTCTCTCACCTGTGTCCTTTTGTGTCTGCTCCAGGTGTGTCTTGTTTAGTAATTAGTTTTCTGTGTATTTAAACCCTGTCCTGTCTCAGTCTTGTGTCGGAAATGATAAATAACAGATTAATCTATTTCATTGAATCGAAGGAGAAGACAAAAGCTTACCAATTTGGTTTTAGGAAAGGCAGAAGCACAATTGATCCAGCATTATGTTTGGAACATGAAATTAGATGGGCCCAGATTAATAAAGAGAGTGTGATAGCAGTCTTTTTAGATGTAGAAAAGGCTTATGACATGCTATGGAAAGAAGGACTGCTAATTAAATTAAAACAAGTAGGCATAAGGGGGAAAATATATAGGTGGATTAAAAATTTCTTAACTGAAAGAACTATTAGAGTTAAAATAGGTGGGGAAATAAGTTCTAAGTATCTAGTTGAAAATGGTACTCCCCAAGGCAGTATTATAAGTCCTATGTTATTCAGCATAATGATTAATGATGTCTTTAATAATATAGATAAATGTTTTGGTGTCTCACTATTTGC